GGAGAAGTCCCAGAACTGATTTCAGGATGAAACTGCAAGAACAAAGAAGTACTTCTAACACAAACAAATGCTGTCCATTGACCAACAGATGCAGGAAGGTCCTTCTCCCAACCACTGCAGCTCCTGTGATGGGACTCTGGCTCCTTCAAGCTCAGCTTCCTCTCCTGCTGCTGTTCTCTGGCCTGCAGAGACCCACGGTGAGTTCCAACTTAGGGCACCACTGAGGAGGTGATCTCTTTATCATCAATGCTCCGACCGAGCATTCTCCTGGTGACAATCTTTCAGTGACCTTTAGGTATTTGGGGTCTAATTTCATTCAGACATTTCAACAAGTAATACCAGCAAAGGATGTGGGAAAGTATTATTTAAAATTGTGGATTCTTTATAGTTTATAAATTTGGCATTATGGAAGCTGGATGTATAGTGTCATGTTCTTGATTCTCCATAAAATTTAAGTGAAACACTATTGTTGTAGGACAAATAATGCAAAATAAACCAAGTCTGTTTGGCTTTAAACTGTATCATATGGATCAATTCAAAAGAAGCATTGTAATTTAAAGTTCTATGTAATGAAAAATAATCTAATGTTAAAAGATGATAGACTACTTAAATGAGATCTAGTAATACATTAAAGTTTTACAGTTTATCATGATGAGACTTTACAGAACACGATATTGTTTGTTTTGTTTTGGCTTAAATAGATTCTCTAGATTTATTTGTAAGCCTGCTGTAAAAAGTTATCGGTTAAAATTATTTAAGCAGTCCTAAAAACTTGTTCTAGTTTACACACAACTAGATGATTTTAACATAAATAACAGCAAAAATACCAAATGGTTTGTTTTGGGAGTTCCGGGCACAACATCCTTGACTTCGATTACATGGAATCTTACCTCTTCATATATTCCTTAATGAGTACTGTTTATTAGAAAAGCATCATTTCTTTGCCAAGCAGGAAACACCTTGAGATGTAGATCACTGAAATATGGCTTTACATGATGAACTGATGGTACTTAATGAACTTGTATTCAAATCTTTAACTTCAGTGTAGTATGCACTAGATATAAATAAGTAATATTCAACTGGCTACCCATTAGAAAATGTGTTTTTCCCACTTCTGGTTTCCAAGAGGGAGGACTCTCTGAGGCGCACCCCCAACCTCTGTTCAATGCTTGACTCTGCTACCCTGGCAGTGGGCAAATTTATTTGATTGGTAACATTGGGAAGAATAACTGGGTTTGCTGAGTTTGATGGTTTTTCTTCTTTGTGAGAGCTAGCCTGATGGCAAAGGACAGGAGTTCTATGTTCCTCCGTGACAAGAATCTGACCTGGGCAGGCCACAATCCACTATTGCCTGCAGCATGGTGGGCAAGTCTGCCTTATTCTGAGGTTTATTCTAAACAAGCCTACTTGCCATCAACCTTCATGACATTATTCAGTAATAATATCATATTTTAGCCTTCATATTTGCTCTTTTTTTCTCAATCTTTCTAAGAACCTGGGCAGAGGAGAGGGCTGTTATGTACTTGGGATCTCCTTGGAGAAGCCAACATAACTCTTCACTTGAGTCTTTTCTTAAATAAAGTTCGAAAGCTTAACATGGCTTTTAGGTATTTATAAAAGAGATATTCCTTAAAATACCCATTAGAGAATGTGAAGGGGGTCAATAGAGGAAACTAAGTATAATTAAACTTTAAAGTTATTAATTGTTTTCTTCAACATGCTCAATATGCACAAAATAAAAAACAGTGTGATTTTGGTGACAACGAAAGGGTCATTTCCTCCCTGGAGTGATGAGTGGTCTTTGAGCTTTCAGTGATATTTATTAAACCAAATTAAATCTCTATCACAGGTCACTGATGCAGGAAGGACTGGAGCACTGTAACAATTATGAGTTACTTCAGCAAATACTGGTTTTTGAGGAGAGTTGGCCTTATTGAGTATATGAAATCTGCTACCATATTTACCATCTGATTTTAAAATTAAAATCAAGATTTTTCTTTTCTTATAGGCAGCAGTTAAAGTCAACTTTAACTTGGCACCAGATTCCTTTGATGATCAGTACCAAGGCTGTAGCCAACAGGTCATGGAAGAGCTAAGACAAGGGGATTATTTCACAAAAGAACTAGAAGCCCGTAGGAATTATTCCAGGGTCTGGCATAATTGCCACTTAATCTGGTTGAACCAAGATAAAGCTCTCCCTGAGAACATGACTATCACACATGCTGTAGCCATCTTGGTTTATACATTGAACAAAAATATTCGTTCTGACTTCACTAAAGCCATGGTCAGTGCTGCCAGGTCTCCATGGCAATATAAACATTCATTTCATTTCAAATACCTACATTACTACTTGACCTCAGCAATCCAGCTGCTAAGGAAAAAGAGTGTCATGAAGAAGGGCTCTCTGTGTTATGAGGTGCATTACGAGGCTGATTTCTACCTGGAAGCCTACACAGGAGCCACCATTCGATTTGGCCATTTCCTGTCTTCCTCCCTCCTAAGAAAAGAGGCACAGAACTTTGGGAACCAAACTCTATTTACCATATTTACCTGCCTGGGTGCACCTGTAGAAGACTTCTCTCTCAAGAAGGAGGTCCTGGTCCCTCCCTACGAGGTGTTTAAAGTTGTAAATATGAGCTACCACCCAAGAGGAAATTGGTTGCAATTGCGGTCAACTGGAAATCTGAGCACATACAACTGTCAGCTACTAAAAGGTATTATTATCAATCTAAATGGAATTCAAATTTATCAGAATCTCAGACTACCATTCTTTTATAAAAGTTATTTTTTCTGAGTGGGCTTGAGGGGAAAAGGCCAAAAACATGGAAACTGGCCTTCGGTAATAGTGAACTGACATATTAGAGAAAATCTGCCTTATTTTGTTGTTTCCTCTCTCTTCATTCTCCTTAACTCCCTCAAGGAAAATGTATTTCTGCAATGGCACTAATATATGGAGCATTCTAGACTGACAGAGTAAACCTTTATTGGAAAAGATAACACATAAAATATAGCATTTTTAACTTATTCCTCAAATTTGTGTTTTAGTCATGGTCATTTCATGAGAGGAATGCTAAAAGTAAAACAGGAGGCATGATTTAGTCATTCACTCTTATCTATTAACCATCTTCTTTGTTCTGGGAACTAGGATAGGAGGCCCCCAGCAACATAAAATGACTATCCTAAGAGGATTTTTAGTCTAATGAGAAATGGAAATATGAACAAATGTCTACACACAAAAACGCAAAGTGACACGCCAAATGTTTAAACAATGGTTGTGGCTGCTCAGAGCAGGAAGCTAGTCACCCTCTCTAGGGAAGACTTAACAATAAAGGACCATGTGGGACTTGTCATAGAATGGGGGTTTTCAGAGAAAGAAGAGAGGAAAAGTGATTTAAAGCAGGAAACAGCAAATGCTGAAAAAGAGAGATTTCTGACAGCCTAATGATTTCAGAGAATCTCCCAAATTCTGGATGGCTGGAATGTAAGATATGTAGGACGTAGGAGGGGCCGGGAGTAGAAAGTGAGTAGGGGAGTGTTTGGGGTGGGAGAGTTGTGATGGGGCCTGATTGTAGAAACTTGTGTATCACATGCTCAGGACCCATGAACTTCATGATGTATTTAAAGAGAAGTCATTAGAAGTTTTAAGGAGTGGAGCATTAATTAGACCAATATTTTAGCAAAAGCTCTGATGATGTTTTGGAAAATGAACTGAAGCAGGAGAAATTAGAGATCCCACAATACAAAAAGAAAAAAAAAAGAAAGAAAGAAAGAAAAGAAAACAACAAAAAAAATCCGTTAAGCTCTTTTTTAGAAAAAAATGTAGCTGATTCCATTTTATCCTTGTATGTTGCCAGCCACAGTCGTTTCACAGAGCAGTAGTTCTGGAGCAAATGCTACAGAACTTTGGTTCAGAGAAAAGAATGTCTTTATCCACATGTGCAGTCATTCACACTCAGTTAACTACAACTCTACTGCAAAGCCTACCTTTAAAATATCCCTGAATCTTCCTCTATACCTCATCATTGCTGCTGTTAGAAATTCGTGCTGTCAGCATTTCTCAGCAGGTCAGGGCTACACTATTGCAAAGGTCTTTAAACTGGCATCCACACTGAGGTGTAGGGCCTGCTCACTCTGGCCTGTTTTTAGACACAGACCAAGGGAGGGGTGATCTGTCAGTACTTTTATCTCCTCCTTCCTCTCCTGGGCAGTAGGTTAGTCAGCAATGTGAGTGAGATACATATCTCACTCAAGGACCCAAGAGATTAGTGTTTATAGAGGAGAATGAACAACTAGCGTAGACTATGAAGAAAACAGTGAAATTTTAATAATAAATGAGACCATTCAAAGCCGGGTTCCAGGATTCTTTAGAACCACACCTGAGTAGGACACTGCTGCTTCATTTTCATCATGAATTCGAGACAGATAATTTTTCCACTAGGTTAACCAGCACAGTAAAATATATTAAGTAAAAGATCATAGAGCATTTATGTCAAGGAGTAGGAAACTGAGGGAGAGGAATATATAGTAGAAATAACTACCCATGTTCTGCTATTCTCAAAGATAAATATTTTTAAGACTCTCCCCCACAAACTAATGATCTTTTCTTTCCTGTGATTAAACTGTTCAAACAGAACTTTAACTCATTTTTGAGTTAAGGCTTACCTGGGAGAGCCATGCATATTCCTAGATTCCGGAAGCTTGGTTGGTCTTGGAAGGATGTTTGAGATCGTGCATCATACTTAAGGAAACCAATAATCTTGTGTTGCTCTATAAATTCTATATGAGCAGAAATTTAACTGCACTGTATTTAAGACCTTGGCAGGGAATCCAGGCAGTTTGACCCAGATCCACCCTGTCTGGATTCATATCCAGCTTATACTACTTTTCAGCTGCGTTCTCAGTCAAGTTGCTTAAACTCTCTAAGTTTCCTTATCTATATAACAAGCATCATAATAGAACCCCACAGGGTTCTTGCAAAGATAAAATACTAAATTATTTCTACACTCCCTAGCATACAAAAAATGGTAAATAAGTGTTAATTCTTACTAACTTTAGTCCCCTGACATATCGAGGTGCTCAATCTAGATTTGTTGAATAAGTTAATGAATAAATGAAGCATTCTCTTTCATGCCTCTGAGTGAGTTAGGCCTTGGGACAGATGATCACATAACTCAATTGACTAAAAACAGTTTCAATATTTGCTAAAAAGGGAAATATTCTAAAAGTTTCAACCCCTAGTCAAGACTAAGGAACTATAGCCACAATGAATGACCTGGAATGTGGTCACTTGCAATGTGAGTTACCATATCAACATTTTTATTAGAAATTCGCCAATTAGCACCTTGTGCAGACTTGGAAAAAGAAACTGTAAATGATAGAATAAAAATATCACTGGTCTTAGAGAGTGATACTTTAATAAGAGACATTGTATGATAGGCCAAGAGCTGGAATTAAAGTGTCTTCCCAACCAGCATAGCTATAAAACTATCTGGGAGAGTGTAAGAGGGAGAAGAATAAGCTTGAGCCACAAGGATGATATTTGCCCTTTGACTCTGGGCTCTGACTGAAAGTTGCAGAGGAGGTGCCTTCACCCTCTGGTTCTACCTTACATAAGCCTCATCTGCCACTGGCTGGTTGTTTGCACAGTCACTTTAAGTGAGGACAAAAGGACTGTATAGACTTGCAACGGACACAACAAATAACCTAGTTCTACTGACTTAAAAAAATGTTTTTTGATTGGTTCAGCTATTACCTGCAGTGTTTTTTCTCACTGAGTAAGCTATGTCTGAAACCTTTCTTAAGTCATGTATGTTAACTGATAAATAATATTCTATTTATCCCAACACCCAGGAACAGTATTAAATTGATCCATACATGAATAATGGGAAGGAGGAGGTGATGTGTTTTTTTTAATCTGAGAGTCTTTCACTAGGATGGACTAAGATCAAAGTACTATAGGGGAATAAAAATAATTTTCTCTCTACCCTTATAGATTCCTGGTTGAGACCCCCACCTCTATACACTGTAATATTAAAAAAAAAAAAAAGACTAACATAAAAAATTAATTTTATACATACAAGAGTCCCATAAAATATGAGACTCAAAAGCAACCAAGCAATTGAGGCTTATATACCACCGTGGGCTAAGAAAAGGAGCAGAGGTCTGGGGCTTCAAAGGGGAGGAAGACAATTCACAGGAAGAGGAGAATTGCAAATGTTTGGTAAACAAATATTTGCTTTACCATGCAGCTAAGTCTCTTGGATGAAAAACTTATCTCTGGCAGTAGCTCTCTTCCTGGTAAATTCATTTAGGCAGTTGAGAGGGAGGTCAAAAGTTTTTCCTGAATCTGCTCTTGATTGCCTTCGGCTCACAATAATTCTTATGCCAAAGTGGCAAATTTTGGGGTGACATATTATGTTCCCCTTCAGTACCCTCCTCAGACTTGAATTTCTAGATAACTACTATCACTCACTTCACCTCTCTCAGTCACCTGGACTATATGATTCACCTCGGAAATTCGGGAATTAGGGAATTCACAGATGGCATTCTGGAGACCAGATATCTAAATCCTGGGCATAATGTTAGTAGCTATGTGGCCTTGAGCAATGAAACTGGAATCTTCACAGGAGACTGCTTATCCTTTTACATTTTTTACTCAGAGAAGCCACAAGCTAGTCTATATCCCAAAAAGTCCCTATGAGTCAGTGACATGGTTCCACTCTTGTTCCCACTTAAGCTGGCAGATGTGATATTTGAAAGACAACATAAGGACCTTTAAAATTGGCCAGCCAGGACACTGTAATTCTCCCAACAAGTTCAAAGAATTCTCAGCAATCTATCACTTTTAGAGAGTCAAGAGGTCAAATTAGTAGCATAATACATTTAAAAGAGTGAATTAGCAAATATATATATATATATATTTGACATTCTAACAGCTTTCTCTTCTAATTCTTCTCTCACCCGTCCCATGACCTATACTGGTTACCATAGAAACAGATGTTTTCATACCCATTGAATGACTCAAAGTATGTTATGTTAGTTATTTGCCCTTAAATGTTACTTCTTCAGCAAAATAATCTGTGCCAAAAAATCTGTAGACACACAAAAACATGCCCTGTTCTGTATCACTTGGATTCACAAAGAAGAGGGATTTATTTGTTAAAATGTCTCACATAATCAAAATTCTTAAGCATATTTCTAGAAAAAATATAGTCAATTGTTTGTAGTAAGCCTGGTTTTACATGTTAACCATGTCAGTTACTAGCAGCAAGAACATGGGCAAATGGCTTAGTTTCTCTGTGCCTATTTCTTTATATATAAAATAGAAATAATTTATTTAAATAAAACCTACTTCATAAGATTAGCTACTATTACCATCATTATTTATTTTATTAACTTCTTGTTTGCTGTTTTCTTTTACTCTGGGCTTCAATTTCCTCAAATTAGTTTTCCCTGTTTGTGGCATCACATTCACATTTACGTAGTGTCTGTCTCAGAGAAATAGATGAAAGAATGAGCACATAATTGAATGAATCTGGGAGGCCACAAAACATGATGGAAAGAGAATAGACTTCAGAGCCAGTAAGAGCTGGGCATATGTTAGTAGCTATGTGGCCTTGTGTAAATGACCCCTTCTGAGCCTGTTACTTCATTTATATTTGGGGGCAATACTTGCCTAGAGAGAATGTCAAATGGTATACATCCTCTCAAATACAGCTAAAAAAACTCTGGGAAAGTACTTTGCACATGGAAGCAAGATAATAGTTTAGTGGCACATAATTTGTGCATCAGTGATACTATCAGAAAGAACAGAAACAAAAGAAAAGCCATTAGAAATAATGCTTACCATTTTTTGAGTGCCAACTTTTGCTAGATAATATTCTAAAAGAGTAATGCTCATTACTCTCTGCATTTTGACAGAGTCTATATAGATAGCATTTGTCTCCAAACACAAGATTAACTAAATATACTGCATGTCTGTTTTACCTTTTTCTGCTTATTTTCAAGAGCTTGAATATTTCTTTCTAAATAGTCATGTAATTCGCAGATTCAGACTTCATGAAATAAAGGTATAATAATTATGTATATCTCCCCAGATTATATGCCCAAATACAGAGATGACCAAAATTTGGTTATAATACACCAAATAAAATGATATTTCTGTGGCAATTTAGTTTACAAAAGACTTTCACACACATTATCTGTTTAATTCTTACAACCACCCTGTACGTTGGGTTATTGACCCCACTATACTCATGTGAATACTGAGGTTTAGAGAGATTAAATGATTTGTGTGAGATTACTGTTTATAAATGACAAAAGTAGATCCTTTCCCATGTTTCTGAGCAAAAAGTCCAGGACAGTTTTCTCTATAGATAGCTTTCAGGAGATTTATTTGTCCATTCGAAAATGTTACTGAGAACCTACCATTAGTTTCAATTTCTGTGACTGTGACTATTTATATTATAAGTCACTTTGCAAACACATAAATATATAAATGCATACACACAAATGAATATGTAACAAGACAATAGTTAACCTTTACACATGCAATGTAACTCTAGTGTTTTTTAATCTAACCCATTTTATTACATTACGAAAGAGTGGTGGCTGTGACCTACAAAACTGATGTCACAAACTATTAATGGATCACAACCTCCAATTTGAAAAATACTGTACTAGTGTACGGAGGGAATAAAAAGCATTGAAGGGGTAGTCTTGATGCAGCATAAAAAATACGAAAGTAAAATTAATGTGAGGTCTTCTCAAATGCAAGATTTTGTAAATTATAATTAATTTAATTCATGGATGTTTTTTATTTATCCTACTAAATATATTGTCTATGTAAAAAAAAATAATAATAATGTTAAGTAGGAATGATAATGACCATAGGAGAGGTAGAGAAAAAAGTAACAAGAAAATTTAAAAAGTTATTTAACCTGAGAAAATAAAATTAAAATAAGATATTTTAATATCCTAGTTATTATGAAAGAGGGCTTAAGTGGTAGCTTTGAAGAATGAGTATGATTACAACATAGTAATGTCTATATATTTGTCTCTTATTTGAACATCATCATAATAGCAGTGAAGAAAGTAAGGAGGAGTGGTAGTGATCAGAATATTTCTCAAAATCTTGAAATGCTTTCATTTTACATATGAGGAAACTGAGGCCCAATGAAAATAACGAACACAGTCAAGTCAAACAGCTAGGGGCAGAGCTTCAATACCAAAGCTAATTACTTTCAAAAAATCACAATCTTTGCTGTATGTTTCACTGTCAATCAGTATTTTCTGACAACTCTTCAGTAGAATCTTATCCCATTAAAAAGTGAAAAAGAATGGGGTTGGAGGTCCTTGTGATCTCTAGCCTCAGGGAAGAGAAAACAAAAGAAAAAGTTTGGGAATCATTCTAATGAATGACCCCTTAAAGTGATATCATTGGCTGCTAGGCCCCTGTAAGAAGGCAGATAATACAATTTTAACACAAACTTTGACAAAATCTTGGAAATATGTATGTAGAAGACAATTTTCTTTGTCTTCTCTTATAGGTGAAAATTGGGGGAGTGCAAATTACTCTTAGTATATATAGAATTCCAAATAGAAATTCCAGGATACTCAAAGGATTTTATATTATCTGAAAGTAATAGGAAAATTTCTCCATCATTTGGTCATCCCATCAAACAATATGGTCAAATACTGAAGCAATCACAGAGTTGAATGTTTTCCTACCTTCTTTCTACCCTAATAATCAGTGAAATCTGGTTGAAGAAGAGATTCCACTTTTTATTCAGAGTATTTTTTTAAAAGTTTCCATCTCATTCTATATCCACATCCCGTCGTATTCTCTGCC